AACGAAAGGAACCCATGAAGTTCCAGTGGAAGAAATGTATCTGAAGACTCAACTTCCCTTTCATTTTAAAATTCCCAGAAATACTCTAAAGGCAAATCTCCTCACTCACCACCCAGGCGTGGCAATAACTAAAAAAAAGCTCCTTAAGTTATATGTTTGTCTATAGGTATACTAACAAAATGCACTGTATGCAAATTCTTATGATCCAGAGATCCTCGCCCAACCCGAGTGATATCTGTACATGCTTCCGTATTTACCTCATTTAAAAGGTAAATGTCCAGAAGCAGAAAAGCAAATGTCATTGGGCCAGAAGGAAGTTCCAGGTCAGTCTGACCTCAATCCATGGGACCTTTCATGAGTATTTGCTCCATGGGAGCAAATACTCATGAAAGTAGTTTCTAAACACGTGGAAGACAAACAGCGCCGTTGGGAACAGCCAACATAGATTTATGAAGGGCAAATCATTTTGACCAACCTCATTACTTTGTGTCAAGTTGACCAGTGCTGTGGACAAGGGGCAGGCAGTGGATGCTGTATGCCTGCATTTAGCAGGGACTCCAACACCATGTCCCATAGTGTCTTTATCATTAAATCAATGAGATAGGGACTGGGTAAGTGAAAAATAATGGGGTTGGAAGTTTGGCTGGACTACTAGGATGGAAGAATCAATCAATGCTGCAAAGTCCGGCTGGCAGCCAGCAAGTAGTGGTATCTTCCAGGGATCAGTATTGGGATCGGTGCTGTTAAATGTCTTGCTTGATTAATCACCTGCGTGATGGGACTGAGTGCACCCTCAGCAGGATTTGTTTGTGGACAACAGCAAACTGGGGAGAGTGGTCGATAATGCTGGAGGGCAGGACTCCTGCTCAGAGGGATCTGGACAGGCTGGAGAAATGCACTTGGCAGGAACCTCATGAAGTTCAACACAGGCAAGTGCCAAGTCCTGCGTCTGTGACAGAACAACCCTGTGGGACAAGACAGGCCGGACACTAACCAGATAAAAAGCGACTTTTGCAGAGAAGTGCCTGGAGCTGCCAGCAGGCAAAAGGCGGAACACAAGTCAGCAGCGTAATGCAGGACAGAGGCCGAGCACACCCTGGGCTGTGTTAGCAGGAGTCTCGCCAGCAGGTCCAGGGAGGTGATCCATCCCCTCCACTCAGCACCCGTGAGACTGCCTTTGGAGGGCTGTGTCCAGTTTTTGGCTCCGCAGTAGAAGGCAGACACTGACACACTGGAGCAAGTCCAGTGGAGGCACTGGAACACGTGATGTACAACAAGGTGTTAAGGGAACTGGGTTTCGTTCAGGCTGGAGAAGAAAATGCACAGAGGAGAATCTTACTGCTGTCTACAACTCCTACATCTGAGGACTTGGAGAAGATGGAGCCAGACTCTGCTCAGAGGTGCACAATAACAGGCTGAGAGGCAACAGACACCAGGCACAAGTTGGAACCTGGGAAATTCTAGTTAGATAAAAGGACGTTCGTGGTTGGTTGGTTGGTTGGTTTTTAAACCATGAGCATGGTCAAGTAATGGAACAGGTTGTCCAGAGAGATTCTGCAGCCTTGCTTGAATGTGTTCAGGACTGCCCTCCCGCTCAGGTCCCTGAGTGACCTGATATAACGAGAGTTGCTTGGAGTAGGAGGTCTCTTCCAGCCCAGAGTATTCTGTGATTCTGTGCTGATGCCATGCAGGGTGATGCTTGCTGTGGAAGGGCGATCCTTCAGGCCTGCTTTAAACAGAGAGTCTGAATTCAGGGAATCGGTTCATGAGGCATCCACAAAGTGAGTTTTTTGTGAATTTTGTGAATCACATTGTAATTCAAACCAACCAACAAGAAACCTGAGAGGTTAGTGTTATCGGTAAGTATTATTAAAGGCTATTTGTGTGTATGCACATTTGCAACCCAGCCCCTCAGGTCTGCTCCCTTGAGGCGTCTCCCATCCTCCTCCCATTCTGATGAGGCAGAAGTTGTGTTGTCCAATAGGCCCTGAGAGGTCAGGGCAAATAAAGGAAGAAGGGAGAAGCACACAGTACGTTCAGAGGAGGAGCTCTGTGGCATTCCCAACAGAAGAAGGGTGGATAAAATCATGTTCTGGCTAATGCTGCTGGCTTATGGATGCTATGGAATGTGGCAAAAAATGTATAAAAGTACACCTCAGAGAAGAACACCTATAGTTAAATATCCTTCCCATGGCCTCTTTCCCCCCCTCCCCCCCCCCTTAATATATACCTAAGTGCTTACACAGGTTAGAATATGTAAATAGGCTTTAGAGTGGAAACAAAGTAGAGATTTTTAAAGCTGTTTATTCTCTCTTCTTTGCCCTGTTCTATTTTGAAGTTTGACATTAACGTCTTTTGAAAGGGAGCATATGGCAGTTCTAATTAAGGCCTGTGATTTTCTGACATATAACTGAATAATACATTCTAAATATTGTTAAGCCTTCCAGATGAAAGAATTTTCAAGGCTGAAGCACTGTAGCTTTGTGATATATCTTGCTGGAATATGTATGCTGTGTGACACTGAGCTCCTTAAGAACTTCAAAGAATTTTCCACAGAATACCAGCGTAGTGAGAAGAAGAGGGGTTTGTTTCTGTTTTGTCTGATGTTAGTATTCCTCCACGAGCTCAGGTTTGGATCAGAGAACAAGTAGTGTGCTTTGGTCCTGAAAGCGTTCAATGTAGCTTCAGTTTTAAATGTTTTTGTCTGGTTGGGGATTTTGTCAGATTTTGTTTCAGACTGCAAGACTTGTTTGTGTATATTTTCCCCAGTAGCTCTTATAGGCGTGTGCTGTAGTTCTTCGGTCCCTCCAAAGCAATTGAAGTATCTCCTTTCAGAATTTTGTGCCAAATGGTTTTTCCTTTACCCTGAATGTGTGAAGCTTTTCTGAATTTGTGATTTGTGATCGATTTCTGGTGTAAGCCAGGTTTTTTGAGACCCTTAGTACGTACCAGTGTCATTAATACGTACCCTTGTGTCTCTGAACAGCCAATGTACTCCGTCTAGAGCAGGGTTCCTCAAAATTATTTTTCCTTGTTTCCATGGGAAGTAGAAGGACTGCGTTTATAATTGATCTCTTTGATCCAGTTAGGCAAATGAGGAGAGAATTTTAAAAATGTAGTTTAATTTAATTGCTTTAACTTAGAGAGCTTTTTTTTAGTTATTGCCACGCCTGGGTGGTGAGTGAGGAGATTTGCCTTTAGAGTATTTCTGGGAATTTTAAAATGAAAGGGAAGTTGAGTCTTCAGATACATTTCTTCCACTGGAACTTCATGGGTTCCTTTCGTTACCGGGAAACCTTAGTTGAAATGATAAATGTGGGGGTTTTAGATCTTCATATTTCCATCTGTAGATCTAATAAATGTATGCAAACGATTGGGAAATGTTAAAATTAATTTTCCTGTAGATTTATGAATTTATGAAAAGTATGGGTGGGTGGTTGTTTCTCTTTTTTTTTTTTTTAATTCTAAGGGGAAGTATTCAAATGCAGGTTGGTCTTGTATTTTGGGGCCTGCGAAGCTGTAGAAACAAGTTCCGAGCTAAAGGGTTTCACGGATCTAACGCTCAGAATGAAATGCAAAGATATTTCTGATACGCTTCTCTCTCCTCTCAGGGCAGCATTTTTGCTGTTAATTATCCTTGAAATACAGCATGTGCTATCTTTGTCCTCACAGTTTGTTGTCAAATTCAAGCACTGATGATATTTTTATTAATGACTTGTATTTGACAATTGCTGAGACTATAAATTAGAAATCTGTAATTGAAGTGAGAATGGCAAGGTTGAAGACTTAAGAGGATAACTGTACAAGTACTGAAGATCCTCCTCTACCTGAGCTACTACTGCCCTCTATATAAAGTTGGAGGTGAAGAGTTTAATATACCTGAGGAGTTAAAGATGCTAGGTCAGGAACCAGATGTGACTGAGCTGTGCTGAAGAGAGTATCTAAGGGATTTGGGGAGCAGATGTAGCTTTGGTCCTCCTTTTTTGGTTTATTTTAGCTTCTTGAGACAGCTCAGCTCATAGCAAAGCGCAACCGCAGAGTTCCTCTGAGATCTAAGCCGTCCATAGCTTCAGAGGCCTTTGAGGATAGTGGGGCTGTTGCAGTGTCTCTCTTTAGGTTGTGTTTCATAGTAAAGATGCTGAGAACTGGAGCACTGTCGATGTTTGGTATTGTTGAAGTTGCACTCATATTGAATTTTTAGCAGTATTTTCTTCAGATAAAACTAGAAAAAGTTCAAATAACTGCAAAACCACGTTCGTGCAAGGAGCTGCTCTAGAGAGTTAGACTGCTACAACTTACTGTGGGCAGCTGCGTAGACCTGTAAGACACTTGGAAATGGAGTGGTTACTTGGACTGGATGGTTGTCCGAGCACACTATCCCAGGCTCACCTTATCACTCCTGGTTTTGTGTATTAGTCAGATAATGAGCTATATCTCTCCATAAGTGTTTTATTCTTAATAGTTACAAGGTTTCTGTTCCATTTGAAGCATTCCTTTCTGTTTCATGCGATACGAGTGTTATTTTTGCTGCTCAGGCTTCTTGCGATCAGAGTGCCACATGAGAGCAGAAGGGCGCATAAAGGCTGCAGCGTAATGAAGCAGCGTTACCTGCTATTCTTTAAAAGGCAGTTCTGTCTATGTGAAGTCTGGAGTGGATGTGACATAATACTGCTTTGTGAAATTTCATGAAATGGATAGTTGACAGCCTTGAATCTTTTCTCACATAATGCTTTTCCTTTTTCCTGTAACGGTGCTGTCAATTGTTCCATAGTCTTGTTCTCTTAAACTTTATGGTAACTTTATTAATAACTTGTTTTGTCAAGTCTGCTAAACATTCTTTACAGTTCCACTAATATTTTCTATGTCTTTTTGTGGTTTTAAAACTGATATGTGAGAAGAATTTGTCTGAGGCCCATATGTATGCATCCTTAATGTCTGTTCCCCTTGGTAAATCTGTGCATGCTTTTGTTTTCTCGTTTTGTCTTTTTTTTTCTTTGCAGAGAGTGATAATGAACTCTCCAGTGGCACTGGTGATGTGTCAAAGGATTGTCCCGAGAACATTTTGTATTCCTGGGGAGAATTACTGGGGAGATGGTAATGCTTCATTTCTTAAATATAGATTTTAAATACTAACCTTTTCTTTGTTTTATGAGACTATATGCTCTTGAGCAGGAGGTTTGTAACTCTTCAGCTTACACAGTTTAAAACACAAAACACATTGAAATGTGTTTTTTAAACCTAGTTTAAAAGGGACTGGTAAATCCTCTTATTTTAGCTTGCAGTTATTTGACAAATCTCTCCCACGGTGTCTGGTAAAGTCTTGTTTTATTCAGCATTTGAGAATATGTCTGTCCGCTCACACTGCAGGTGTGACTCTTCCAATGCAGAGCTTTCTGGCCACCTGTGTTCCGTGGGGCTGGATGTTAAGCCCTCGTGAAACTCAGTGCTAGGATGGAAAAGACAGAGCGACTCCAGTCTGTCTTGTCTAAGCCATTTGTGCTAGCTGACGTATATTTAATTGATTTGTTTAGAGGCACTCTTTTTTCCTTGTTCCTTTTTTTTTTTTTAAATGTACTATATGTAAGCCCTTGAAAAAGAATTCTAGAAAGACTGTGATCCTCACACTCTCCTTCTATTGGAAGTAAAGCGAAGAATATTTGTAAGCCTGGAGTATGATCTCAACAGTGTTATTTCTGTGGTTTAATTAAATGGTTCAGTAGCAGTGTATACTTTGCCAAGAGAGGAAAAAGTCTCGGTATTTGCTACCTCTAAGAGACCTTATATTACTAGCAAATGCCAGAACCACTTACTTGGGTTTCCCTTTGTAAGTAATAGCTCCTGCTGCCTGAGACAAAAATAATCAGAGGCCCTTAATCTGGAAATGGCAAAGCTTCCTCTTCCTAACTCCAAAAAGAGAGCTGGAAAACAGTTTAAGGGGCAATTTCCCCCTTTACTTGGCCACTTTCTAGCTTTGGAGAAACACAGCCTCTAGCTGCTGACCTCATCTTTAATGGAGATCGCACACAAACGTTATTCTGTGAGACATCGCAAGATGTTACTGAGCTTAATGGACCCTTCCCTCCTGCTTGTTTTTAACTATTGTGTTGTCCAAGTTTCTGGCCTTAATGAAAGATCTTTTGGGGGAAGCAGAAATACCTAATGGAATGATTGTACAAATACTCTGGCTATGGACCCTCTGAATGATGAAGAGAATACTGAGGAAAAGTGTGGGAGCTGGTTGATCTCTATGTGTTTTCCTCACCTGAAAAGGCTGTAAACAGATCCGCTCTGGAGCTGTACAGAACTTTCCAAAGCCTGTTCTAAAGGGCATCCCAAGAGAAAAATTGCAGTTTTATATCTGGCACCCCAAGGCCAATGAGGAAGGTCGTTCTGAGTGCTTAAAGAAATGCATGGCAGGTTTGTTTCAATCTGCTTTGCATTTGCATTGGAAGATGCTGATTTAAAGTAATTTTTATTTTTTTTTTTTAAATTCATCTGTCAGTTGATTCTTTTAGTTTTAACTTTTGTCCTTGACAAGTACCTGGACTCCTGTGGATAAGCAACGCTGAAGTAAAGAACCGCCCGCAGCTCGTTCTCTCAAGTTACACGTAGCCAGTTACAAGTTACTCAAGTATACTGTTCAATGAGACAAAACATTTAAGACTTTTGGAGTAAACTATTTTGAAATCTTAACATAATTTATACACTTAACTCAGAGAATCATTTAGTAGTTAAACCACCTTAGTTAAAAGGAGTTAAAAAGGGGATGTGAAAGGGGAGATCCTAGCCAGCTTGAAGACTATCAGCAGCAAACGTTTGCTTTAGGAGCGTCTCAAGCAATATTACCTTTTGAGATAAATTCGAGAGTATGAAATACTTGAATTCTTGAATGGCGTTATGCTACCTTTTAAGAACAAAACTTGGAAAGAGTAAGAGATGAAAAATGTTAACAATTTGAAAACTAAAAATAGATTGAAATCAAATCTTCTAGTGTGTTGAAAACTGCAACATATGCTAGTGGAATATCTGTGCACTTGTAAAAAAAGTAAATAAACAAAAATTAACAGTTCCACTTGAACTGGTGTGCCATTTTGTCTCAAATGGAATATTTCTTGCACGTTAATTGCTTCTTGTCATTTCATTAAAATGTCACTGTAACCCAACGGACTGACTCAGCAGAAACGTTGCTCCAAGAGTCTTCTTCAAACATATAAACAGGAATAAGATAATTTACCTAAAAGATATAATAAACAGGTGGAAAGTTATGGAATATTTTTTAAATTTTTTTACTGTTTCCTGCTTCCTCAGCATTAAAGTTATTCTTGCAAGCTGAGCTAGTTTAGCTGAGTACTTAACTGTTTCTGATGTGTGGGGTTTTGTTTTTTTTTTTTTAATAGCAGTCTGATCAGAAATACTTGTTTGTAAAGTTGGAGCATAGTCTGTGCATCGCTGTTCTGTGTCCTTGCTTTTCAAAGTTTTAAAATTCTGTCTTTGAAATTTGCACAGGACAACAACAGCACTTTTGTAACAAATTAAAGATGTCGGTATTCATGAATGACCCATTTTTTTTTCCACGTGCTAGAAGATAAGACTACAATAAAACAAGCTTTTATTTTATGCTTGTTTCTGTTATAGTCTGGCCAAGCAGGTGTCAGAAAGTGTCTAGGAATGTAAGGTGCCTGGGCCTCTACACAAAGGAGGGGAAAATGTGTATTTGTTCATTACTGTAGAATACAGAGCAAGGATTATGATTGATCAAACTGTTTCCCAGACAGGTATTCAGAAACTTAGAAGTTGTCTGTGACAGTTACAGAGTTATGCTTTACTGCATGGACCAGTGTTGCTAAAGTATTACCTGTACTATAAAACTATGTAAATATACAACAAATCCAGTACAATCTGGTGTGCTGTAGCATACTAAATTCTCAGCTGGGAGTATATTAAGTAATAAGGATGGTATTACAGTGTGGAATGTGCCTCTCTGTTAGTTGTTGCCATGAGCTATTTGTGTTGTTTTCTTGGTGTCACTGAAAAGTTCCCTGTTATGTTTCGCTGGGAATGTACATTTTCAGCTGTTCATTTTATTTTACCTGCTTGCCAGGTCCTTACAGAAGGCCTTCTGTGTTCCTCATGTAACACATATGACCAAATCCATGTAATAACCAAACTAACCTGATCTGAAGTGTGCTGTGAATGCTTCGTTTTCACACAACTTGAACTTTGTTTCTGGTGTATTTAATTTATTCCTGAATGTACATTTCATAATTTTATAACCGCTTAGATTGTCCAGTCTTTTGAATATTTCTGTGAATATTGGGTTTTCTTTCTAGCTTTTTCCCATCACAAGGCCATTAGTCTAATATGACTTACTGCAAAATGTACTGAAAAGGAGAAAAGATGGGTTTTAATTTGGCTAACTGAATGATGAAGTTTGAAATTACTTGTATTACACTGCACATTTAAAATTCAAAAATAATTACTGTGTTTAAAAGAATAAGGTTGTTATATAATCACACTCTCTTTTCAATTCTCGAGTCACTGGAAAAATGGGGATGTCATCCTCAGAGTACAGGAAACAGAGATTTTATTTAGAGCAGCTTTGAAATAGCAGTGGTATTCTGTTCACGTCTTCATGACCTGTTTCAAAGAATGAGTACTCTAAACATTTACTTAAGATCGAGGGTTAAATTGCAGGTTATTTAAGTTAATCACAGCTTGTTACCATTTGGCTAAACTGCCCCTCTCACTATTCTCCTACTGGTAGAGCTGAAAAACATAGCAATGGTCAAAACAATACCAGAGCAAAGCAGTTCCTGCACTAAAGAGAAAAAGAGTCAATTCCCGCACTCTTCCTGCTGCATTGCTATGAAAATGGCCATAGTAAGTCAAAGCGAGGTTTAATCTAGATCAGTCAACGCTGTTACCTCAAAACGGATTTTTAAACATCTGTGACTGAAAGCACTGCAATATTGTGCACGTCCAGCGATTTTATCCGGAACGCGTGGGTTCCGTGACTGGATTCATTTTGAAAGGCACGTCTTCAGTGTTCAACCTGTCTGAACATGGCCGTTTCATAGTTCTGCATGCCGACTTTCGTAGGATCAGTTACAGAGTGTTGGAGAATAAAAAAAGTCATCCTGCAATTGTCTTCCTACATTTCTTGATGTGTGTACAAACAGATAGTAAAACACCAGCTCAAGCCAAAAGGAAGATTTATTTGGAATGGTGGGATTTTACCAAAGTATGTGCAAGTGTTACTGCTTTGTGGGGCTTGCAACATACTCCTAGCATTAAGTGTAAATCTGGAACTTCAGTCTTCATGTTAGTATTCTTAAAACTGGCTTTTATTTGTTTTCCAAAATGTATTTCTCTACACAGCTTAGGTTATTTTTAATTTCCTTTTCTTAACCTAAGCTAAACTTATATGTTGAACAAATATTTAAATTGAATTTTCTTTGCAGATGGCATAGTTTTCTCTTTCAATTCAAATTATTCTTCATTAGCCAGTTTAGTTCAATTTCTGTAATTGTTTATTCTAATTTTTATTAATTTCTCCAAACCTAGAGAATTTGGATATCACTACATTTTGCCACTGGTACTTAATTGTAAATCCTCGCAGAATTTTTGCCTTCCATCTGACAAATACAAGTAACCAATGGAAGAAAGCTTTGTCGCTAGTTGCTGACTCTGCTTTTCAGAATAACATTGGAAAGCTGAAAAACTTTTTATGCTTTGTAATTCTTGATTTCTACTCCTGTAGTTGAAGTATAATAGGCAAATGATTGTCTCTTTCTCAGGCACAATAATCTCGTTGTGAGACCAAACGGATTATCTACCCTGGTGAAAAGCGGTGTTCCAGAAGCACTGAGGGCAGAGGTTTGGCAGTTGCTGGCAGGATGCCATGACAACCAGGCAATGCTGGATAAATACAGAGTTCTCATCACAATGGTAAGTGATTTCTTTTTTTCTTTTTTTTTTTCTTTCTTTTTCATTTGCTTAAAACAAATTCTGCTGAGCAGCAGTTCTGTTCAGTGGCAAAGTAGCAAAGAGTGAAACAGTTTGGCTTGGTTTAAGCAACTGAAATACTGATCAGGTGGCTTTACCTCCTGCCGTGGGTACCTGCTGAATGGCATTAACAATAGAAATTGCTGACCTATATCTGTAGTAATGCTTGACATTTAGCTTTCTGTGCACTTGCTGTGATGATAATAAGCACATCAGCTTGTTGTTCAGGTGTTTGGGTGGTTTGTTTTTTTTTTTGTTTTTTTTTTTTGCATTTCTTGTTTTGTTGTTTATTTTAAAAGAGAAAGTTAAAAACGGTTTTACCTAGCAGGAAACCAGTCTGCTTGCTGTATGGGCAATTTGAGAGGAAAATCCTTTTGGGAATCTTCCCATTCTGTATCATAATGTCATCGGTGCAGTCAATAAACGCTGTACGAGGTTGTCTGCATAGATGTTCTAGACTGGTTATAGCTGTGATTGAAAGATTGAGAACTACTGTGTTGTAGTAGCAGCAACTCAGTGCAGTGTCAGGAGGTAAACTCACCATTTGAGGCTCTGTAATTCTTGCCACTGCCGGGTAGTTATGCACTCTGGGAAAAACAGCAGTCTCAGCAATGGCAGAAACGGGTGAAGGTAATTTTGTATGTTGCTCATAGAAAGTGTTGGCTTTGTTATCTAGAGAATGAATCATCTGTCCATACAAAAGTTCTGGGGTAGACAACGTTAGTAAAAGTTTCTTCTCATAATGTTGTAACGTCTTTTTAATGCTTGTCCTCTTAATTTGACCTACCCGTGATGTTTGTGAAATTTAAAAGCGCCCCTGGAGTGAGATCTGTCCTCATGGCTGCTTCGTCCTTTACCAATAAAGAAGGATGTTTTGATAGTGTAAATTTTTCTTTTTGACGTTGTAGTTGGATTGTATTTTCCTTAGAAACCATTCACAGGACATCTGTCAGCTGTATGTTGCATCAAAACCACCTCCATTATTTTGCTCTTGCTTTCCAAAAGTGGGGAAGATGTTTGTTTCACAGCGGAGGAGGGAGTGGAGAACTTGTACACTGCAAGCCTTATCTTGATGCTAGGGCCTCATGCCTTAAAAAGGCGTTGCTACGCTTGGCCTTTTCATGATAGAAATCTTTCAATGACATGTATTTTAGAAGATGATATTGCATACAGTATTTAACATGGAATGTTAAATACTGTTATGGATTAGAAAATTAAATCCTATTCTGAACTGAAGCATTTATGTAAACTCACTATTTTTCTGAAGTAAATAATTTTTATTCTGAAATCACAGAATTTCTTCTATAGTCTGACTGTATGTAACTGCTGGTGTTGCGCGTACATCTGGCGTACATTGCGTGAAGGGATTCATGAAAAGAAATGAATAGGAGAGAGTCTGTGCCAAGCCAAAGCTAAGGCGCGTTTTTTGTAATTGTAAATATTGGGTGCTCCAGAAAAACTTGTCAACTAATTTTTTTAATTAATTATTACCTGTTACTTACATCTGTGAACAGAACTTTCTGTTTCATTTTGGTGTGTAGGTAATGTGAATTAAGGTATTATATATATAGAGAGAGAGAAAGTCATATATTATTCTCTGTACCCCACTAAAAGCTTTCTTGTAGTAGTATCTTATGGGTGTCAACAATAATAATATGCATGTTAAACTTCAGAGTTGTTATTTGGGTATTACTGAATGTTCACTTGCTTCTTCTGTATGAAAAAGCAGAACTGATTTTTTTTTTCCTGTGTTGTTTGTGTGCTACCGTCTGAACACACCAACAACATGTACTTCATTTTTTCCATAATTAATTATTCTTTCCATCAAATACACAGCTTTAATCTTCTTTCTTTCAATTTGCAGATACATTTAGACAGTCATTGTCTCCTTTTGTTGTTCTGCTTAACGTCTCTCTCTTATTTAGGCCCACTTCTGGAAAGCGGATATTCTTGTGGGCATCTTGACCACTTTAGTGGTATATTCTGTAAGCGTGTGCATCCCAGAGCGTGTTTCTGTGAGACGTTCCTAGGTGGTTAGAGGTGTCAGAGCTCTGCGCTTGCAGTGTTGAGAATAAAGCGTGCTGAGATACAAGGAGTAGGAGGTGGCAGTAACAGCCACGAGCTTGACCCCGTGCCTCGTACCTGCTCATACAGCTCCCCCCGGCACAGCTCTCCCCCTTAAACAGCTCCCCGCTGCTGCCTAGCTCCTGGGAACCTCTCGTAACATTCTCTCCCGTGCCGCTCCATCTCCTAGCTTGTTGTAGCAGCTCCTTTGTGCACGCCTGCTCTCCCAACAGCCCGGCCCTTTCCCCTTGCTGGTCACCCAGCCTTACTTGCACCGTTCAGCCAAACTGCCGATTGCAGTACGTCAGGCAGAGAGAGGGCACACTGGAAAACTCTCTGCACCCAGGGATGTGTAAGAAAGTAAGTTTATATAGGTGCAATTGGGGCTTTTTGTCCGGTGATGAAAATAGCATGGCTAAAATGTGTAACGCTATAGCAAAATACTATAGAGTACTGTAGTAATTAATATAGTATTAGCCAGTACTTACCAGTAAGATAAGGAATGCTGGCCAGTTTTCTTGAATGAGGCTTGGCTTTAAAAGCATCTTTGATTTCTTTGATTGTATAAGATCTGAAGGAATTTTTTTCTAAAGAGACTTTCAGAGGGCTAACTTGAGGGACAAATCTTGAAAACAGGCATTTTATTATCGCAGCTTAAAAGGTGAACCGAATAGCTGGAATTATTAATATTGAACGTATGATACCTACTTTATGACTGCCTCTTCTGGGAAACAGAGGTAAATATATTAAAAACTGGACCTTTAAAACTACTACGATGTTGCTGGTGAAACTGCTTGCTAGTGGCGGAGGAGAATTGTATGACTGGCAGGCCAAAAACATGTTCCTGGTCATGAACTGAATGGTAACACTCTCAACATTTTAGTTTACTTTAGAGACCATGATACAGACACATTTGTTGTTGTACGCCAGTTGCATGCAGTCTGTGCAGACGTATGTTAGATTGGCTAACTATTCAGATCTGGTACGCATGTTACACTACATATATCCCTCTGTGCAGAGCTCTGAAATCTCCTGCAGTATTTTGCAGTTAGAGGAGTGTTTTGTTCACTGTGTTCCATAGGAGAGAGTGATTTGTGGCTTGTTTTAGTGTTTCAGTTCAGCACAGAATGCAAAATAAAATCTCTGTCTTATTTAGAAAAATCAATGCCATAATTATTTTCTCCAAAAGGGACGTCTTCTAGTCCTCTGCACTGGAATTCAATGGTCTGTCAAGAATGATCCAGTGAACGGAGTTTCCCTTCCCATACCAGAGCATTCACACACGGAGATAGTCCCCATCTCTAGCTGAGTTTGGAGGGAAGGGAGAAAGAAATACTTCTGCTCTCGCAAGTACTTTCTTACTGACGAGCACTGTCTTGCTACATCTTACGTCTCCTGCTGAGTTCCAGCTTCATGATTACCATGAGCCTCTCAAATTTTGACTGGAGCACAATAGTAGGTCTTGCATACAATTTTAGAGTGTAGGAGTTGTGATTTGGCAGCTGCTTCATTTCTGACATATATGTAAATCTGTACCATACGACAATCAAAATCCGCCTTAGTTACCGTTCTGGCATGTGTGCCACAGGCTTTTGACCCAGCTGCACGTGGCGTGGGAAAGAAGGGGAAAAATGAAAGATACACCAGCAGAGATAAATTCGTATTTTTACATATACATATATATTTAAGGAAAACAGAAATGCAAGTCGGAGTGAGAAAGATCTGCTTCTGTGATGATAATGAAGGGGTAATACTGGTATTTGGATATAGAGCTTTTGTAAAAAGCATGTCAGATCCATTTGTTGAAAGAAGATAAGTAGAAGACCGTGCATAAGCTAGGGTCACTTCATTGACAGAGATTTTTCTTCTGCCTACTTGATGTTGTTTCATGTTCAGCTTCACTGGCTCTTCTCAAGAGACTCAGATGAATTTTTCCTGTGACGAGACACATTTTGAGCTCCGCTCAACTGCTGCGTGGCAAGCCACAGTTTACCTCATTTACAGCTGAGGTGACTGGTAATCCTCTTCAGCAACGGTTACGCTCCGCCTTGCCCCACACTGCTGCCCTTACTCCACTCTGTCCCTCTCAGAATAGGTGTCAGGCACTGTCCATACGTAAATCGTTAAAAATCCGCTGTCACTTGATGGCAGTAATGAAGCAACTTACTGTAGAACACTTGTTGCATCCGAATGGGGACAGATGTTTTATTTATTACATCTTATGGTGCCTATTATTAACATTCTGCTGTTCTGTTTTAGATGGTTCATTCTTGTATGTGTTCTTGCTGCTGAATTGGTCGGGCAGGGCTTCTGTCCATCTTTTTCCGTGGGACAGACTGGGTGCCTGTTTTGTAGTGCCGTTACTGATTACTCTTCAAATTGCCTACACTCAAGTCCTTTTTCCTGAGTGTAGAAATCAACACCTGTCAGGGTTGTATGCAGTTGCAGAAGTAAAATAATGAAAGGAGAAAAAGGAGGCAGTCATTTGCATTCTATACTTTGCAAACTTTTGGATGGACCATTTTAAGGTAGGATTTATGATTGTTAAATGTATCATTTCTTTATAAAAGACTTTCACTTTACAGTCTGATTTCCATTAAGAGATGAGCTGTATGTATAAAGTTCATCTAACAGCATATATAGACTTCCAAATACTGCTGCTGCTCTGGGTTTAAGAAAACAAAACTTGTTTTAAATTTATTATTATTATTTCAAGTATGATCAGAAAAAGAAACCTAGTCTCAGGTACAGGAGATGCTGGTAGTGCTACGTTACTCAAAAGCGATGAAAGTTTGCATATGAGTGTGAATGCCCTTTCTTGAGATGGATGGTGACTTTGAGTCGAAGGTCTTAAAGAAAGACTCAATGGCTGTCCTGCC